TTTTTACGTTGTGTTTTATAGACCGTTGATTGTCTCTTCATAGTTTTTCGTATTTTGCCAGGGCGTTGTCAATTTGTCTTCGACTTATGAATTTGATAATCCCCTGGTATCTTGTCTCTCTTTAAAAAGCTACTTTAACAACGAGGGTTCTGCCTCAAGATTTATCTTTTCCTCATCTCAATATATGTCAACATCATAAACAGTATCTCCACTATTGATTGATTTCACCTGATTAAAGGCCGATCTTACTATTTAAAACAATCACAAGTTTATAATAAGGGTTGTACTTACATGCGCAACACGACAGGTACCACATTTGGAATAGGATCTGCCAACCCTTCCGAAGCACCTGAAATTACCCTCTGTTTTTGGTGGGGTTTGCGTTGCTCAGTTCTTTAGTGTTTTTTACTGTTGTTTGTCTTTTGATTGGTTTTCGTTCATTGTCATTACATTATTAGTTTGTTTTCAACATATGTGTTTGAATATCCTTTGGTATCTTTCGCCTCTCCTTTAATAAAAGTGGGACTATTCCATGTTATCAAATCGAGTTATTCAATTTGAATGTTACAGTAAATGAGTCAATGTCGATATTAGTATTATTATTATTTTTTTTAACAATCAATTATATATTTATTCTTCAAATTTTGCTTGTTACAAAACTCTCTTGATGTTCCCCGGTACAGTTTAATCGTTACATCGGGGGAAATGATTAACATCTTCACCTTATTGATAGATGCAACTTATTAGTAATCACGATATAATAATACTAGTCATTGTTTATGTTTTTTTTATATTACTTATAACATTGGATTTATTAGCTGATATCTAACTATGTATATTCTCTTATTAAATTCATTCTGTAAACATCGACAATTGTTGTTTACTTATCAGATATAAAATATGATTTGAACAAAAGTATTGTTACTAAATAATTTAGAAAGTAATATTTATTACCTGTGTTTTCATATCAAAATGTTAAATGATGTAGTTATATAACAAAATCAATTTTCATCCATTGAAGATATCATAAATCATTTGCTACAAGTCAAATATGAAAAAAAATAAAAAAATAATGTGATTATTTATATTCTAGTTAAAAAAATACACATAAAATTATTTGTTGTTTTCATTGCAAAAAAAAAAAAAAAAAAAATTATTGGTATAATTTTCCTTGATACTTTCCATTTATGTATTATAATTTATTTACAGTCAGATATTCAAAAATAAATCGATACATCAAATGCGTATATAGAGTATTCGTATTATCGAAGCCATTAGTTTCTTCATTTTAATGTCTCTATTTTATTGCATAATATTGAATCTTGCATCTTTTATTTGATAATGAATATTCAATATAGTGACTTTTCCATATAATATTCAATTGTCCGAATATTTTCTCTACTTTTATTCGTATTTTCCTCTTTTACAGTGTAGATTCAGTCTTTTGGGAGTGTTTTCTTGTTAACTTTAAACTTCCACTAGTTTTCATTCGTTTTTCGATTTTTACATGCTGATCATGATAGGCACTAAAAAAGGGGAAAATTGGTTTAATATACATGCTTTTATAAATAACTCCATTAATTCAGTACGTCCGAAGTAACGCTTGTCTCGATTTACCATTGTCAGGAAAGCTCAATTCAAACAATTGAAAGCCAAGGATGTATAAATACATGAAAATGTAGAAGATATGTAACCAATAAGAAAGAGTAAATGGAATTTTAAATTTGTGGTTGCTAAACCGAACCGAATTTTCTAATTAAAAAAATCAACACTATTATTTTTCAGTATAACTTAAATTGATCACATAAGTTAAGAGGTATGGTCAATTGGAATGAAAACTCATCACAGGTAACAGGCTTCTATTTTTTTGCGCGTTTCGGCTACAGAAGACTCATCAGTGACATTCGAATAAAGTATGAATTATTCTGAATACTAAGGATTTTCTTATCCCAGGCATATAACCTTAGCCGTATTTGGCACACCTTTTTGGAACTTTTGGACCTCAATGCTCTTCAACTTTGTACTTGTTTTGGCTTTCGAATTTTTTTTTTATCCGAGCGTCACTGATGGGTCTTACGTAGACGAAACGCGCGTCTGGCGTATTAAATTATAGACTGGTACCTTTTGATAGCTATTATTTGTGTGTGTCTCTGTCCTGTATGTTCTCCCATTTATTTGTATTGTAGTCCTGTCATGTAGCCTTGTCATTTTAATGTTATATTTAACATTGCCATATAAGCGGGAGGTTTGGCTAGCCACAAAACCAGTTTCAACACACCATTTTTTCTTAAAATGTCCTGTATCAAGTCAAGAAAATGGCCATTGTTATATTATAGTTCGTTTCTGTGTGTGTTGCATTTTAGTGTTGTGTTTCTGTTGTGTCGTAGTTTGATGTAATTCCCTCAGTTTTAGTTTGTAACCAGGATTTGTTTTTTTCTCAATCGATTTATGAATTTCTAATAGCGGTATACTACTGGTGCCTTTATTTAAAGGTCAAATATCTTATATTAGAAATTGTATCGAAGAGAGGCGAAAGATACCAGAGGAACATTCAAACTCATAAGTCGAAAATAAACTGACAACGCCATGGCCAAAAAAGAAAAAGACCAACAGACAAACAATAGTACACAAAACACAACATAGAAAACTAAAGACTGAGTAACACGAACCCCACCAAAAACTGGTGTTGATCTCAGGTGCTCCGGAAGAGTAAGCAGATCTAGCTCCACATGTGGCACCCGTCGTGTTGCTCATAACTTGCTTAACGAACATAAATCAATGAGTATCTAAAGGAGTACAAAGCATCCTTAACGAGTAATTTGGGTATTGGTAAAGAATGACTTTTGTTTTTCATGTCTTGAAAAAACGCTTCGCAGTTTTGCCAAACTTTATTACTATTGTTGCTTTGTGTATCATTTTGCATAGAATAATTTTGGCACGTACTAAAAATTTACCTAAATGTCAATAAATAACTCACGTGATGCTGTGATACTGTATTTCTTCAGAATAGATAAAAATGGCCCCGGTGTAAAACAAAATCAAGGTTAATTGAGCTCCTAAAATTAGAAACCACCGTTTGCAGATTGGGACCAGCAGGAGGCAAAATATACAAAACATTACGTTTCAGCTTACATTGGTGGTACAATTTCCTATGGTTTATAAAGCTTGCTCACAGATTCCCTGAAATAAACACTATAATATTGCGAATGGAAAGGGGGAATGTGTCAAAGACACAACAACTCAACCAAGGAGCAGAAAATAGCCGAAGGCCACCAATGGGTCTTCAATACAGCGAAAAAATCCCGCACCCGGAGGCGGGATTCAGCTGGCTCCTAAACAAACATGTGTACTAGTTCAGAGAAGATGAACGTCATCTGTGCACTAAACTCCGAAACATATAAAAGAACCAAAATTAAAAAAAAAGACTAACGAAGGCCAGAGGTTCCTGACTTTGGACAGGCGCAAAAATGCGGCGGGGTTAATAGATATAAGAAGATGTGGTATGCGTGTCAATGAGTCAACTCTCCATCCAAGTCAAAATTTATAAAATTAAACCATTATAGGTCAAAGTACGGTCTTCAACACGGAGCCTTGGCTCACACCGAACAGCAAGCTAATAAAGGGCCCCAAAAATTACTAGTAACACTTATGAACGAAATCAACAAACGACAACTACTGAACATCTGATTCCTGACTTAGGACAGGTGCAAACAATTGCAGCGGGTTTAAACGTTTTAATGGTACCAAACCTTCACCCTTATCTGAAACAATAGTGTAACATCACAACATAGAAAGACACACTATACAATATCAATTGAAATGGCTTAACTCAATCAAAAGACATATTAACACCAGTGAACATACACTGAACAAATAAATTTGATCTATGATACAATGTAAATACAAAATAAATAAACTAAGGGAAGAATAATTAAAGTAACATGTTATTCTGCTGTTAAATGTTAAACAATTTAAGAAAAACAATATGCTTGAACAAAAATATCAGCCATTTGCAAATACTTTAAAAACAGGTAAATGAAAATAATTTTGTTGTTAGGTATACGTGTACAATTCAAATGGAGAAAGGAAATATTTTTACAAAATAAATAATTTTGATGTTCATAGTACGAAGAAGTGAAAATGTATAGTAACACCAACCACTTATCAAAGCTGGAATATAGACCAGATATAACCCTGAATAAGTAAACATTAAATAACAAAAAAGCATTACAATTAGTAACATGCTTTGTGAGATATATATATAAATAAAGGCAACAGTAGTATACCGCTGTTCGAAATTCATAAATCGATTGAGAAAAAACAAATCCGGGTTACAAACTAAAACTGAAGGAAACACATCAAATATAAGAGGAGAACTACGACACAACAGAAACACAACATTAAAATGTAACACATATCATATATAAGTGTTTATGAACTTCTGGGTTAGTGAATGTGTGCGAAAGCTCCAATCGCAACTGGTTACATTTACAAAAGATGAAATTTTATACTAAAACAATACTATACATAATAAAATAGATAAGTAATAATTATGTAAATTGTACTGAAATCTGTGAAATATTTTCAGTCTAAATAATAACGAAATGGTGATGTTCTGTGAATGTATTTCTTTAAAAGACTATCTTCTTATTCCGTAATATATGTCCTGGGTTAGTTTATATCTTCTCTTAAAGTTTGCCTTTGAATTAAAATAATACGATCATTCATTCATTCATTCACAAGACTATGTATTAATTACAAATCGAAACAGAAACAGACATTATGTTATTGTTATTATAAGCTAATGAAAATATCATTAAATCACAAATATAGCCGATATGAGATGTATAGATAATTGCTTTCCCTTTGTCATTATAGATTCTTATTTCTAACCAGTGCCCTTAATTGCAGGTATTCATCGTCCTTTTTTTATCACTAGTGTATTTACGCCTTAATGACACCTATTTCATGACACCTTAAAGTGATTCAACAACGAATCACATCCTCCGAATGTTTAAAAGCCGCGTGGTAACAATAACTGACACGCACACACAAACGTAGGAATAAAAAGACGTAGCAGAGGCAAACGACTTTGTATTGTCAACATAATCTACTATCAAAAACATGCTGATGAATTCAAGAATTAAAATCATATAGACGTATTATTGGATTTCACTCGTCAATTTTTTGTGAATATTTAAAACTATTTAACGAAAAAAGAGATCATAAAAAGGAGATATTTATACCAGTGACACTGACTAAAATATGCGGACAAAATCAGAACTTTACTTGCAAATGGTATACTTTTCATGTTGTTTTCTAATATGGATGTTATTGGTTTGTCCGATTGGTAAGTAAACTTTTAAGGTATAGTGTATGATTTCTTTATTAATTTAAATGTTTTCAAACAATTAAAAATCGTTACTTAAAATTTAGTTGAAATACTAAATTGTATTTTTTCAAATATCTAATAAATATATAACATTGAAAAACGTATTTCGAATGTAACAATTTCAGTTTTATTTACTACAGCTTAGTCGCTACCATTGCTAGTGGATACTTCCCCATGTTCGCATTCTAGGTAAAGTAAATTTCAATATTTAATAAAAACTAGGCACAGAGAACTTTGTTATTTTGAACATGTAATATTTTTTTCTCCAAAAATATATATCGTTTACTGGTTCCTAGCCTAGTTTGAGAAATAATACTGTAACGTATTAATGTTTAATTGGAATTTATTATTCTAGTTATACAAAACCTACATTTTTAAAAATATTGAACTGCAAGAAAGAAACTATGATCATTCAATATTTGTAAATGATGTAATCAAAATCAAATGTGGCATGCAATAATTTAAAACCACAATTTTGTTTTATCTTTCTTTGGTATATTAAAAAAGAGACATGGATGACCACCAATTCATTCATAGGATACCCTAAGTACCCAGTTCCTAATACATACGATGGTCTATCACTTAGTCTACTAAGAGGTCCACCAAATCTCTTCGAAAAATGTTGACAGATCTTCTAAAAGCAGTTAAAAGTACTACTTTGCTCGTTGTGAATTCCTAAATAAATTTACCTAAATTATTTTAAGATCCTAAATGTGGTAGTAGTATCAACGTTTTCAATTTTAAACAGCTTATATCTCTTTTCTTGATGAAAATATGATCATTGAATCTAATGTTAATCTTACGTATTCTAGTTTGAAAACGAAGTCCTACATGTCATGTATCTGGGGAAAATACTTCCTCATCTTTCACTGATCACGTCTTTTCAGCAACCAATGGTATACTGATGGGCACAAAGCATACAACGGGTTTTTGTGAATATATTCCTTTATTTCTGTGAAGCCAAATTTGTCGAAGATTATTTCAAAAATAAAACGAAGATATATACGCTAATTCTTTTGATTACAGATTTTTCTATATCGAATGATAACATTTATCTTAATAATAATAATCAGTTGAGAGATAAACTAAAGACACCCCAGTCCGAATCTGTGAGCTATTAACGACTATACAGGAAATTCTGAATTGGGACTAAAAGAAGGTATCATTGACATTCATATCATACAAAATGATTGCAAACGTGTTTCCACCTGCACCTTCATGAACAAATATATCATAGTGAGTTTTGAAGAATATGGCCTTTAGCTATAATCTAAGATTTTGGTTGTTTGTATTCGTCCATTGTTATTTTTACGTACAAATGTCTCGTTAATTTTGATTAATTTTGTGAAAATATTTTTCAAAAGTACAATATTTGATCCCAATTTTAAAACAGTGTGGTATCTACAGTAAAATTGGTACCGTTAATGTTATTATAAACAAGAGGAACTTTTGAAATGTCATGTTAGAGGATTATCCACATAAGTACAATTTTTGATGCCTCTTTTGTACAGTTCAGTATCTCCTACCTAATAAATTATATAAACTTTTGATTTGTCTTATGAGCATTGTCAACTGAAATACGATTGTAAATCCACCTTTTTCACAGTTGGTTGCGTATTTCCTAGCTTATAATTTATAGGAACTTTTGATTGTCTTGTTAGAGAATTGTTCTTTCAAATACAATATGTTATCCCTCTAAATGCATATTCAGTATATCTTACCTTATAAATTATAAACACTTTTTGATTGGCTTGCTAGAGAATTATTCACTCAATTCTGGATCCCCATTTTTGCACAGTTGGTTGAGTATTTCCTACCTTATAATCAATAAAAATGTTTAATTTGTGTTGATAGAGTATTCTCCACACATGTACAAATTTTTATTTCCTTTTTACAAAGTCAGCTCTTACTTAATAAACTATAGGAACTGTTGATATATCTTTTTTAACATATTTATTACGTTGAAGGACGTGCTTTTCAACAAATAATCGGCATTCCAATGAGAACCAAATGCGCTCATCTTCTTACCGACTTGTTCCTATGGTCATAAAAGGATGAATTTATACAGGAGCTTCTTTGGAAGAATGTAAAAAAAAGCTAGCATTATCCTTTAATTTCACTTTCCGCTATAAGATGATGTTCTCTCAATAAATTTTTCAAAGTTTAAGACTATGTGGAACACAACTATACCATCTAACTTGAAATAAAAGATACAACATATACAGTTAGGTCTGCTTCATACCTTCGGTGGAGAAAAAAACTTTACGACAAAAGAGAATATTTCAGCATCCAAATTGTGAACTGTCCATTTCTATGTGCAAACATTCCAGCAGCGCCTTTATATTGAGGAGTTATATCCCAGTTGATATTCCAGAGCATGCATATTCTATCATGACTTCCTTGATAGATGATTGCTACCCACAAGGAAGCTGTTAAACAAAGAGTTCCAAATGAAGAAGTTGAAATCATCCCTTCGAAAATTTCACGAGTATGTTGATCGTTATGGAATGTCTGTTTCAGTGATGAATTTAATTTCAGTGATGACGACAGATATGTTTCAGTTGTCGTAACCACACTTTCGTCCTCTTTTCATCGAATGTGACTTGCCGAACTAGACCCATCACCGGGTTTGTACTTACATGAGCAACAATGTGAGGCAGGATTTACTAATCCTTCCGAAGCACCTGAGATTTTTTGGTAGAGTTCGTGTTTCTTAGTCCTTAGTTTTTTATGTTGTGTTTTGTATATTGTTGTTCGTCTTTTGGTCGTTTGTTATTTTGCATGGCGTTGTCGTCTTATGAGTTTGAATGTCCCTTTGGTATCTTTCGACTCTCATTTAAATTATTGTATACACAAGTTCGATAATTGACCAATTTTACACAGTTATACTGTATAAACTGTACGAACTTATGAATGGCCATGTTAGACGAGGGACCGTCTTAAACTTCCAGTGAGGTGAGAGTTTTTTGCTCCGTGTTGCATGCCTCACTATGACTTTGAGAAGAAGAACAGCAATAATAGCGCTGTTCCTTTACATTTTGTTGTTTTTTTTTGCTGTGCAAGTATTGATTTTGTGTTATGGATGGATATCCAATATTCTTTGTTTTTCTATCAATGTCGACTAAAGTACAAAATGTTATCCCACTTTAAGTATCTCCAACCTTATAAACTTCTATAAATTCTATAAAAAAAAATTTTGTAGTCTTGTTAGAGTCGTGTCTACATAAGTGAAGTTTTTCCTAAATAATAAACCATATGAATTTTGATGTATCTTGTTAGCGTATTGTCACTCAAGTACAATAAATAAATCAAGCCAAATTTTTAAAAGCCAAGGACGTATATGTACCGAATTTCTTGAGCATTGAGCATTTAGGGGATCTACAGATAATGGCCAAATCCATCGAAGATTAACTTGCCTGAGGGATTTGGAACCTTAGTTTCTTGATAATTTCTAAATTTGCAAATAGTCAATGATTTAGATAGGTATGTTATAAACGATGTGAGTACCAAAATACTGACCACTTTGTTAATTAAGTTCGTTCGAAGCGTTTTATCTGGATTTACCTTGATTAGGAACGCTCCAACTAAATAACAAATTTCGATTTGCCTTGTTAGAGAATTGTCCACTCGAGTACGATTTGTATCTCCTTTTTTACGCAGTTCGGGATCTCCTACCTTATAAAAACTAATGACAGATACAAACATAAAAATTTATAAACTACAAAAAGTTTGATTTGTCTTGCAAAAGTGTTTTCAACACAAGTAAGATTTTTTATCTCCTTTTTTTACAGCATGTTGGATCTCCTACCTTATTAAATATAGGAACATTTTATCTGCCTTGTTAGAGTATTGTCTGCTCTAGTACAGTTGTTGATTACCCTTTGTAAAACAGTTTGTTCAATATCTCCTTCTTTATAAACTATAGGAACGTAAGTTCTAACTCCTCATAAAGAGATGAATTTTAACGAATGTGGTTTTCAAATTATGTCTATATAGTTCCCAAATGTATTTATAGACCTTTGTCTTTCCTAACGTTTTGCTCTGAAAATGTATTGTTGTAGATCGTTTGAGTAAGAATCAACAACCCCTATGAAAGAAATAGTATGTGGTTAATAGGCATGAGCCCAATCACATATACATTACACAATGTAAATTTAGCCAACAGTAGTGTACCGTTGTCCAAATAAGGAAAGACATTATACAGTGTTAGTTTAATCTACTGTGAGCCATCAAAAAATATAGTGCTTGCTACGGGAAGTCCATCTTTTGACAACATATCAACATGGCAAAGCCAAAATTAAATGTAGCAGGAATAATCGAAGGTTGCACGATCATATCACTTCCTATCTGAATCGGTAAGATATCAACGAAAACAACATTTGATATACATAAAACTTCAACAAACTTAACGTAAATCCTCGTAAACCGGTTCATCTGTTTATGTTATTTTAGTACAGAGAATTGCTAATTAACTTTTCAGAATAAAAATATAAAGCGTCAGAAATAAAAAGGTTGGCAAGGAAGTACGAATTATGAATGGGGAAATTGAAACGCCTTTGTTAAGATATTGAAATAAGATTTCAGAGCTTTCAGCAAATATTGATTTTAAATAAAAAAAAATAGAAAAAAAAAAAAAACTATATTTAAATGTATTACCATAAATTGACATTTTCTTATAATATTAATGAAAGACTTCCATCATATTTCTGACATTCAGTAAAGTATAAACTCATAATATATAAAAAGCAACAGCTGCTAAACACTTGATCTAATTTTGCTATTTTTAAAATATTTAATACTGTCAGTGATATTTTGCAACTCAGTATAAAAACATATAAACATTTTGCGAATCAGAGAATAAAACATTTGAAAAAATAGGAACAAATCGTGTAACCTAAGAAATGAAATAAAAACAGTTATTAATTAAATGTTACATCCCTACGTTTATGTGTATAATA